GGCAGGAGGAGGATGCCCCCGGGCGCGGCCAGCTGCAGCGGCGGTGAGAAGGGGCTCCGAAGCCACGGGATGGGGGACACGGGTGACTGGGAGGGACGCACGGGGGACTGAGGGGGGGGGACGGACACAGCTACACCCTGAGGAGCACCTCCTCCCCCCGTGGTCCCCCAGCGTCACCCCCTTAGGGGAGCGATTTGGGGGTACCCTGGCCACGAGGGCTGGGTCCTGCTGCGGGCTGGGCCCCACGTCCCACTCAGGATCCCCCTGTCCCCCCCCAGGCAGAGCTTTGTCATGGTCAAGGGGGCCGCCCTGCTGCTGCCCGCGGAGGAGCCACTGGCGGCCGGGCCCCCCCCCGCCGCCGGCCCCCGCCCGGCCCCCGGGGCGGCGGGCGCAGCCCCCAGGCCCCGGGGCGGCAGGAGCAGCACCTGCAGCTCATGATGCAGCTGCTGCGTCCCCAGGACGCCATCCGGCTGGTAGGGCACGGCCACCCCCAGGGACCGGGGACGGGGACCGGGATGGGGACGGGGAGGGGATGGGATAGGGCTAGTAGCAGGGAGAGGGATGGGGTGGTAACAGGAAGAGGGATGGCGACGGTGACGGGGTGGGGATGAGATGGGGACAGTGAAAGAGATGGAATGGGATGGGGATGGGATATGGATGGGGAGAGGATGGGGATGGGGTGGGACAGGGATGGGATGGGGATGGTGACAGGATAGGGATGGGGACAGGAAGGGTATGGGAATGGGATATGGATGGGGACAGGATGGGACAGGACAGGATGGGATGGGACAGGATGGGATGGGATAAGGATGGGGACAAGATGGGGATGGGGACGGGGACGGGATATGGATAGGGACAGGATGGGGATGGGGACAGGATGGGGATGGAAACAGGACAGGATGGGATGAGGACAGGATGGGGACAAGATAGAATGGGATGGGGACGGGAATGGAATGGGATGGGGATGGGATACAGCCCAGCCTGCACCCCAGTGTGCTTGATGCTCCTCCTTGGGCACTGGGGACACTGGGGGGGGCAGATCCCCCAGTGCTGTCCCGGGGGGTGCAGGGGGCACCCCTCATGCCCCCCTTCACCCCCAGGCGGTGCGGCTGGAGTCGGCGCGGCCGCGGCGGGCGCGGTACCTGCTGGTGGTGCGGCCCGAGGAGGTGGGAGCCGAGGGGCAGACGGTGCTGCTGGGGGTGGACTTCGCCCACGAGGGGTGAGCAGGGCGTGGAGGGGGGGACACGGGGGGGTTGGCCGCACCCCCTGACCTCTGCCCATCCCAGGGCCTCCCGCTGCACCCTGGGCATGGTGCTGCCCCTCTGGAGCGACACCCAGGTCTTCCTCGACGGTGATGGGTAAGGGGTAGGCGGGGCTTCTGGGAAGGGGAGGGGCTTATGAGGGTGGGGCTCACAGTATTGGGTGGGGCCTGTGGGGAGGGGCAGGGCCAGGGTGCGCATCCCGACGCACACGTCTCCCCGCGGTGCCCAGGGGGTTCAGCGTGACGTCTGGGGGAGAGACCCGCATCTTCAAGCCCATCTCTGTCCAGACCATGTGGTGAGCGAGTCCTGTGTGTGTCCGTGGGCCTGGGGGACGTGGGCACCGCCGTGGGCATGGGGGACGTGGGCACAACTGTGGGCCTGGGGGACGTGGGCACTGCCGTGGGCACGGGGGGCCGTGGGCATGGGGGACGTGGGCACAACGGTGGGCCTGGGGGACGTGGGCACTGCTGTGGGCACAGGGGATGTGGATACTACCGTGGGCACGGGGGACGTGGGCACAACTGTGGGCACAGGGGACGTGGGCACCACTGTGGGCATGGAGGACGTGGGCACTGCTGTGGGCATGGGGGACGTGGGCACTGCCATGGGCACTGCCGTGGACACAGGGGACGTGGGTACCACCATGAGCATGGAGGATGTGGGCACAACCGTGGGCACGGGGGACACGGGCATCGCCGTGGGCACGGGGGACGTGGGCACCGCCATGGACACAGGGGACGCGGGGACCACCGGGGGCACAGGGGGCG